CAAAGTGTCTAGCCACTAGCTTGGGTGGCCACCTGCCAGGTGCTTTGCAGATGGGGGCTTGGGTCTCAGCTAGCCTCCTCCTCTTGCTGTCAGACCTCCAGTTCCCCCACAGACCCAGAGCAGATGTCAGGGAAGAGGATGGAAAGTAAGCCGTCTGCTACATACAGTAATTCTCCTTGGTGGAGGCACTCTTCTCAAGCAGCTGATGGGTTGACCAGCACAGTAGGAGGTTTGGCCTCCATCACACCCATCCCTGTGGTCCTTCCTCTGAAAGGGGCCTGGGACCCTTAGATATCAACAAGTACTTGTTGGGTTAAAGCGGACGAGATGACAAACCTATAAATTATTGTATGGCACAGAAAATGGCAGAATAAATGCAGACGGCTCCTTGGCAAGGGTGAAAAGTATTTTCTGAATGTTCAGCTTACACATCTGTATAAGCCAGTTAGGTGCCAGGCACATGGTGTGTAACTAAACAGATACAGAAATTTCTGCCCTCACAGGACATGGTGTCATGTTCACCCTCTCCACAAGAGTCACAGCTTCAGAAAAAATTCTGTATAGGAGTCTAAAGGTTGACATTGGAAGCTGTGCATGGCTTATCCTCCAGTAACCCTGCCACCCAGGACCGAATTTCCTTGATTCGCTCTTTCGTTACTTTCATGTTGATCAATGTTGTTTTGTGAAATGGGGTGTCTTTCCATTGTTGCCCACGCCATTCTCTCGCCCCAGCCTCCCGAGTAGCTGGGGTACAGGCACGCCATTGTACCTGCTAGACATTACATTAGGTGCCTGTCAGATGGTCAACCAAGACTTCCGGGTTAAAAGGAAGCAAGTCTCGTATGCATGAGGCAGTAGGCCACCGCCATCCTTTCTCTGCTTTACTTGCAGAGATGAAATAAGGAACTGTAAGTTAGAAGGGAACTCCTTGGCACACGTGCTGTAGGCAAGAACTGTAATTAGAGGAAACAAAGCTACAGGCAGCTGAAGAGTCCTTTAGTTTCAAAACACAGGGAAGTCCACCAGCCCATGAGCCCTGGCAATACACAACGAGGCTGAATCAGAATTTTAGTCCCTTGTGACTTTTTTCCCAAGTGTATTTTATTGTGGTAAGAATGTTTAACAAGAGGTAGGCACCTGTAACAGGTTTTTAAGTATATGAGACAATAATGCTGTCTCTAGCCATCCATGCTTAATGGCTCCACAAAGTTAGCTCACCCTGCATCTGCAAGTTCTTAACTTTGTTGGTGGTGGTTGTGGTGTGTGTCTGTGGTCTGTGCATGTGTGTGTGCAGGTACACTCGTGTGAGTGTGCAGAGGACAGAGGTACGTATCAAGCGTCTTCCTGGGTCACTCTCCACCTTGGTTTTGAGACAGTTTCTCACTGAACCTAGAACTCATAGCTAGTAAGTTCCCAGACTCCTCCTTCTCCACTAGTGTTACAGACACATACTGCGGCACCCAGTTCTTATGTGGGTACCTATAATTTGAACTCGGAGCCTTGTGCTTACAAAGCAAAGAGTTTACTGACTGAGTCATGCCCCTAGTTCCTGTACTGTTGATTAACTAAGCTCTATCCCCACCTCCATTCTCTTCTGTGTCTGACCATTTAAATTCTTAGAACTAGAATCCTGCCAAACAGGTCACTCTGTGAATGGACTTGTTTCATGTACCATTAGGTCCACTAGGATTATTCATCTGACCTCCAATTCCCTGTGGTGTGTGTGTGTGTGTGTGTGTGTGTGTGTGTGTGTGTGTGTGTGTGTGTGTGTGCGTGTTAGAAGCCAGCCTGCAGCATTCTGAGAACTAAGGAGGTGGGGGTTGTGATGAGCAGTGTTTCCTTGGAACCTAATTACTTTGTCTTCACTCAAAGTCCTTCTGGCTTACTCCTTTCAAAGTGTGAACTCCTGAAGAAAATCAAAGGAATCCCCTGAAGTGGATGGGAAATTAAAATGTCAGACTAGAGACACTGGCAGAAGGCTCTACAGGAGAGGCATGGTCACACAAGGCAAAGCCATATCATGATGCACTACATGACATAGAACATACATGGAAAATTAACAACATGTGAAATCACAGTTAAGGCAAGCATATTTCACCGAGGAAAATGGTCACAATGTGTGGTTGTGTGGGGGAAAAAGTGTGAGCTGTAAAGTGTAACGTATAGTTTTAGGAATACAAAGTCCTAAACTTCCTCATAACTTCTGTCTCTAAAATCATTCCAGCTGTGAGATGCAGGTGTTGACATCATGAACCAGGGTGCAGAGAGTGCAGAGTTTCGGTTTTATGACTTGACTTCTCATCTTCATTCTGTGGCTAAACTGGGAGATGGGTGCTGAGCCCCTGGGGGGAGGCATATCCCGACACTGAGGTAATACTCAGATAGCAACTGAGGACGCTCAGCCGAGCCAGGAAGGTTGGAATGTGGCCAGTCAGGGGACAATTTTCAGAGTGCACTTTTACCTTCCACCTTGCTTTGAGGCAGGGTCTCTTATTTCTGCTCCCCTGCTCCATTCTCCAGGCCATCTGGCTCATAAGATTCTGGGACAGTCTCCTGCCTGCACCTCACCACAAGAGTGTGGGCGTTACAGATGTGGATTAGCACATCTGCTTTATATGGCTCTGGGCATCACTGGCTTGCACAGCAAGTGCTTTTCCCACCAAGCCATCATTCTGACCCATGTTTCATTCTGAGATGTTTATTGTTACTTCATATTATAAATGATGCTGGCATGAGAAGCCCATGCATATGTCTGCTTGAGAAGTGAGGCAGTGACTGTAAATTTAACTGCAAAAGCAGTCTGGTCCTGGAGTAGTAAGGACGGAGGGCGGGAGGTGATGTCTGCAGCTTGGTGTTGGCCAGCCCTGGAGGCAGATCAGGGCAGGCAGCAACCCTGGAAATGCATGGCGTGGGGAGGGGTGGCTTGTTTATTAGTAAGAGTGTGGTGAGAGCAGAAATCTGAGCATGTTTGTAAAGTCACCCTGGGAACCTGAGTGGGAGCAGGGCTTCATTCCGACGGAGTGACTCTCAGCCAGCGAGTCTTCTCTCCATGTGCAGACTCACCGAAAGCGAGGTGGCTGGGAAGAAAGCAGAGCGTGAGGTTTTAGCTGGAGGATTAGTCGAGCTTTGCCCTGGTGCCTCTTGACCACTCTAAGATGCAGTCTCTGGGCTTCGGCTTCTGGCTCACAGTGCTGGTTTTGAAGTAACCAGTGATGATGGAACCTTCCGGAACATGGTGGTGGCTGCAAACACATCCACACCCACCCCTTGTCACACACACACCTCATTCAGGGTGCTTTAGCTAAATGGAAAATTTTGTATTAAGTCTGGAAAAGTTTGGATCTTGACTCAAGACACTTACTGTTTCGCAGTGTGGATGTTTTTAAGCAGAGGCAGGGCATACCAGTGAGCAAATCGCCACCCCCTTCACTCCACCGGAAACAGGGCTGAACGTGGGGATGGGAGCTGAGGTGGGCTTATGCTGAGGTAGGATAACACAACAGCTAACACTGGAGAACAGGGAGACAGAATCTTTACTGTCAGACGGGTCACAAGGATATGAGATCAAAAAACTGGAAAGATCCAAATACCCATCCAACAGACTGACCCATGAGTAAACTAAGTATGGTGTGCTGCTGTTTCGGAGGTCTCCCTCTGTAGCTTGGCTGGTCTAGAACTCACCACAGAGCCTAAGCCACCTCCAGCTCTTGGCAATCCTCCTGCCTTAGCCTCCAAGTGCTGAGATTATAGGCTGGAGTAGCCACACCCAGCTTTATACACACTTTTGCAGAATTATTCATGATGCACAAATGAATCCAAGTTAAGCACTGTTACATTAAATAGGATAATAAATGCATATACTTTAGTGCAGTGGTTCTCAGCGACCCTTTAATGCGGTTCCTTCTGTTGTGGTGACTCCCGACAATACAATTACTTTCACTGCTACTCCGTAACTGTAAATTTGTTACTGTTATGAATCATAATATGGGTATCTGACATGCAGGATATCTGATGTGTGACCCCTGTGAAAGTGTCATTTGGCCTCCCAAAGGGGTCATAACCCCCAGGTTGAGAACCACAGCATGATGTCAAAATAAGCTTAGAAGAGGAATAAACATATCATTGTGCTGTTCATGACTCTGAAAGCACAATTACACCTTTTTCCTTTGTATTTCTGTTGTTGCTGTTGTTCGGGTTAATCTCATGTAGATCCCACTGTCCTCAAACTCACTATGTGGTCAAGGGTGACCTTTAACTTTTGGTCCTCCCAGTGTTTACCACAGAACCGTGGCTTCAGGCATGCAAGCAAGGACTCTGCTTACCACGCCACACCCCAAGCCTCCTTTACATTGTGCTTTTCTGGGATTAAAGGCATGCGCCACCACCACCGGGTTACTTTTTAAAAATTTTTTAGATTTATTTTTACTCTATATGTGTAATGTTATGCCTGCATCTATGTTTATGTATCACAGCTTGTAGCAGCCACAGAGGCTAGAAGAGGGTGACGGATTCTCTAGAACTGGAACTACAGTTATGATCCACGGTGGGAGCGTCGGATTCTCTGTAAGAGCAGCAAGTGCTCTCAATGGCCGAGTCATCTCTCCTGTCCCCTTCACATTCTGTATCTTCCAATTTTCCATGCCATGTGTATATTTCTAGGAAGTGAGCGAAAGGGTTTTTCTCTTCTTGTTAAACTCCTTTTAAACTCAAGGTTTTATATGTGTGCTTCATTTATTCATGTAAAAAGATAGTCTGGCTCCTTACCATCTAGCAAACAAATTCTATAGAAACAATGAGCTCTATTGAGCTGTAAGAAAATAATTGTCTTTGAACAAAAGCTCTTTCATTGGTCATTCATTAACTAATCAGTGGGTTCTGTGCACTCTGTCTGTGTGACACATGTCTGGATCACCTCTATACCAAACAGGAAACGGATTAGCCCACTATAGGTAAAGTTTCAAGTTCTTAATGTTTAACTTGAAATGAAGAAGATCTGTGCCTTTGTTTGATAAATTTAATAGAATAAGTTGAATAGAAGCTTAATACATCTCAACTGTGAAAACTAAAAACAAGTATTTTTTTCTTAGTACATTTCCCCAATAGTGTTTTTTTGTGGCTTTGGACTGGCTTGCATATTGGTATCACAGACTAAAAACCTTTTTCCCATACATCTTAAATTGAGAAACAAGCTTGGGTTTCTTCTGTCTTTGGACATTAGGAGAATGAAAGTTCCATCTCTGTAGAAGGGTTTGTCCGTCTTATCCTAGAATCAGAAAAAGAGTATGTGAGCAAAGTGTTTTATTTGGGGAGATGATCTTTAATCCTAACCCATTTCAATCTAGGTTTAGTTAGATTGATCCAGGATCCGCATGGTGGCTCACATGCAGAACAGATTGTGAAAGCCACACGCTTCCTTGTAACCGGGAAGCCAGGGCAGCCTTCAAGCCTCCACTGCCCTGCTGGAGCATGGTTTTGGACAGTGTCAGCATTACTCAGGTGCTGCTTGAAATTGCTGGGGCCCTGCCTGACCTGAGGCAGAATCGAGTTATCATAAAGAACCCAGTAAGTCATGGGCAATTCAGAGGTTAAATGACACCCCACCCCACCCCCACCCCCCACCCCTCTGGCCTGTCTCTCTCTCTGGTTTGTTAACATAGTGCAGAATAAAGAAGTGAACCAAACCCTGAGATGTCATGAGGAGGGGCTGTGAAGTCTCTAAACCAGGCTTTAGAACTCACTGCATAGCCATGACTCTAAACTTGGGAGAGTCACACTATCCTGATCTCTCTCTCTCTCTCTCTCTCTCTCTCTCTCTCTCTCTCTCTCACACACACACACACACACACACACACACACACACACCAGAGAGAGAGGGATGAGGGAAGGAGAGGGAGAAGGAGAGGGAGAGGGAGAGAAAATGTCTGTGTGAGATTGTGTGTGCATCATGGAGGTCAGGGGTCGGTGTCAGTATTTCTTGATTTTCCCAACCTTATTCTTTGAGACAGGGTCTCTCCTTGAACCTGGAGCTCATTGATTTGGCTGGGCTGGCAGGCCAGTGAGCTCCAGGGATTACAGGTTAAATCAAGTTTACTAAAAGCACTGATTTCTCTGTGGGTTACAAAGGGGCTCACCTCTCGGATTCTAATGCTGCCTTGCCACAGCCCTGGCACTTCTGCCCGGCTAACCACAACTATGTGATTTGATGTCTTCGCCCTATTGTCCAGGGGCCAGAATCTCCATAATGACGGCCAGTGGCCAGAATCTCCATAATGACGGCCAGTGGCTATGGCACAGTCTGGGAAGCCAGAGGGGCATCAGCTGGTAATTTCCACTACAGTAGCTCTCAGACCAAGGATCATCATGTCCTTCCTACCACCAAATTTTCTTACCTGGAAGAAGGAGCTTACCATCCTCAACTTTTGATCATGTGGGCTATACATATAACTATGTAAATTTCTTGCTGTCCTGCCTCGCATGTGGTAAATAATAGCAATTGTTTTATTATTGCCAATCCGTGCTGCATGGCTGAGTCTTGTTTGAGTTTTGGCTTTGATCTTGTATCTGAGTTCTCAGTAGCTGCAGCATTCGGATCCCACAAGCCCATAACGGCCTCCTCCTTTGTGATACTTGTGTTATGCTCACATGTCACTTAGCTCAGTCGGTACCCCAGTTTCTGACCTCTGGGCACAGGAGCACCTCGTGGTTGAGGACATGGGCTCTGGAGATGGGTTTCCCGGATTCCAGACCAGTCCTTCCACTCAGAAACTAGGCAGCACTGGGTAATTCTTCAGTCTTTCTGTGCCTCAGGGTTCTCGTGTGAAAAATACATTATGTCTATTCCTTATGGCTGGTGAAATGCTTAAATAATATAGTAAAATCTGAAACAATAGTGTTTATAGCATTTGCTGAGATGATTCGTATCCTAGTTAAGAACACACACACTGGGCTAACTCAGTGATTAAGAGCACAGTGTCTTAGCCAAGGACCAAAGTCTAGATCCCAATATCTACATCATAAAATGCCTTTAACTCAAGCCCCCAAAGATCTAATCCTGTGTCTGACCTCTGACCTCTGTGGGCACTTAGTAAACACACACACACACACACAATTTTTTAAAAGAAGAGAAAAGAGAAAAGCAAAGGGAAGAGAGGAGAGGAAAGGGGAGGAAAGGGGAGGAGAGGAGAGGAGGGGAGGGGAGAGGAGAGCAGAGCAGAGCAGAGCAGGGCAGGGCAGAGCAGAGCAGAGACCCATGCTTGGCTTCTGTGTGCTGCCGTTTTTCCATGGACCCGGAGGTATCTCACTGCTGTGGACTGTGTGTCCCTATACTATCTGCACATCACTCCTGTGTCAACACCCCTGTCTCCTTCCCATGTTCTGCTACAGACGCTGTGACAAACAGACCCCGTGACAGTAAGAAATGAGGAATGCTTCTCTCTAAGCTTGTGGCATTTGAAGAGTACATATACAGGTGACCCGTTTACCTAAAATAGGGTGAAACTACGTGCCCAGTTCCTCCTTAACTCCCTCACTTCCCTTTCATCATGTTCAGAAGAAAGGAATGTACACGATTCTTCCCTTAGAGCCTGGCTGTACTCAAGAAACTCTTGTACAGAAGGAGTAAAGAGAACAGTCAGTCGTGTGAGTCTGGTTATGCATGTCTCTGCTGTCTGTAGAGGTGTCTTTCTTTCCCCGACTGCTTGAGTCCCAGAATGACAAACTGGTAAGTATGTGACCCGGCAGAGCAAGCTGGCTTTTGGCCGAGCTTCTTAGTGGTGTACCACTTGTTGGCAAGCTGAGCGATCCCCGGGTGCCCACGGAAGTCAGGGTACAGGGCTTACTTCTCAAGCTGAGCGATCCCCTTACTTCTCAAGCTGAGCAACCCCCTTACTTCTCAAGCTGAGCAACCCCCCCCCCGGTGCCCGCGGAAGTCGGGGGTACGGGGCTTACTTCTCAGTCCTCCGTGCCTTGAGTAGTACTTGGCTTGCGGGAGTGAATTGTTTCTGCTCTGCGGTCCTAGCATCATGCCTCCCACAGGGAGGTTCCTTTTAATGCTCCAAATTCCATCCAGGGCCACTGTGAATATTTTACAACAAGATAAGTAGTGTATTCTCTTCCCAGCACAAGGTGTTTCAAAAGTATTTTCTTTGGTTATTACGCTTCCAATTACTTGGGTAGAGGTGTATTTGACTTAATTAATCAAGCCGCCCTAGGTCTTTCTCCTCTATTTAATCTTTAATACATTTCATGCATCCAACTATTATTGCATGGAATTAAATCACTATATGCTGTTACATTTGAGTCTCCAGAAAGATATGAAAGGCCAATACAGTAACATATGCTACAAAACAAAAGAATCAAGAATAAATAAAACAAATGCTATATATTATTGTTTTCCATATCTGATTCTAATTTAATTCCTTCGATAAGTGGGAATATTTCCACAAATAAGAAAAACATTCACAAGACTTGAGAATCTCCTTAATGCCGTGAGCCAGGTGTGGCTTAATGTCCCCGTAAAAAAAAATCCATGACAACTCAGTAGCTCCTGCTGTTACAGTGCTGAGTACCTGGGAAATGGCAGGTCTGGAGTCCTGAAAAGGATGTCTGCACATTAATTAGTAAATGCCTGCACATTACTAATGCTTTATTCTTGGATCCCCCTCCATATACTAAAATCATCGGTCTGGGTATTTCTTTAACTTCTGTACTGAGAAATGGCCGCCACCAGGTTGGCCTGTAAGGCATTTTCTTGGTTGGTGGTAGATGAGGGAGGGCCCAGCTCTCTGTAGGTGGTGCCAGACTTGAGCAGGTGGCCCTGGGACACACGAGAAAGCACACTGAGCAGCCAGCAGCATCCTTCCATAGCCTCGGCCTCCCCTTCTGATGGAGCGTGACCTGAGAGTTACAAGCTGACATACGCCTTTTGTCTTCAGGTTGTTTTGGTCTTGGAGTTTAGCACAGCAACAGCAACCCTGACTAAGACCATTTAACCACGGGGGAAAGCACAACCCACGCTGACTGAGTTAGTGAGCTCGGGCTAGCTGCAATGACGTCGTCGTCTTGTTCTGACTTTGAGCATGCAAATTGCATTGCCGAGTATTCTCCAGAGAGGGTTTCCCACCCAGAGCTGTCTCCCTGACACTCTCATGACACTTGGTCCCTCCATAAAAGACTCCACAGTAAGTAACGTCTGGGAAGGAACGCAGTCTCTGGACTCAGGGCAGACTGGGGTTCAGGCCTCGCTCTCCCGCGGCCAGCTGTGAGCCTTGCACAGGTTGCTTAAACACACCATTTCCCGACATTTGAAATGGGGATAATAATGCCGCCTCGAAGGCTCTTCTCCAATGTGGATGAGATGGATGTTGAGTGCTTTGTGTTCAATAAATGGTTGCTGCCATCTTTACAAGGACAGTGACTTTACTGTTCAAGGGTGAGCTCAGACTCTCCAGAGCTACAGCTTGGAGGACTCACCACGCTGAGTGTTACCTGTCAGGAGGGTAGGCAGTAGCTGGCACTGCCTGTCACGATGAGTGCCATCCTTTTTTCTAGGTCCTTAAAGAAACACTTCACAATGTCCTTCCGTCTTACAAAACTGAAACCGTTCTTCGCATCTTATCTAACCTAAATCTCCCTTCCCGTTCAAGCCGTTTCCTCTTGTGTCCTGGCTAGAGACGGGAAGAGCTCCTCCCAGACGCTGCTCCCAAATGCAGGTGAAGAAGCCTGTGAGAGACCAATAAGGTAGCTATGGATTTACCCTCTGCCGCGGGAAGATCTAGCAGGCAGAAAGCAGGTTAGGCAGGGTTCTGCAGACCAGCCACAGTGAATTGAACGTCAAAGTGTTGCATCCATCAACTTTGGCTCCACTCTTGCCGATAAAATTGCAGGTATGTTGAAGGTTACAACTGAACAGAAAACACTCAAAATATTCCTGCAGGTGCTAAGAAGTGTTTTAAAAAAACCTCAAAGGAAAGTATAGCTGTGCATAATTGATTACTGCTTTCAATGACGAAGACTAATAGAAAAACGATTAGCAGCACCACGCGTTTGATGGGATATTTGGGTACAGAAGTCACCAGAGCTGGCATTCAGGTAGGACAAAAGCAGCCACTGAGCCCTTAGAGGCGGCCACCCCTTTGGGCGGAGTGACCTCCCTGTGCTCCAGGGACAAGGCGGCTGGAGCCCAAGGCCGCGACAGACCCAGAAAAGCCTCAGAGCTGTCATACCTGGCTAGGAAGGGGAAAGAGCAGCGCGCACTAGAGATGCCAAGCCTGTCCTAGGGCCTTCTAGAAATTCTTTTCTCTCCTTGATCATTTCTATTCGGAGAACTTTTTCTGTGGATTCTTATCCTAAATTTAAAAATTAGAAAACCACGTATGCTTTCTCTACCCCCTAGAGAGTCTCAGGTTGAGCTCACAGGTAAGTTAAACTTACCTTTAAAGTATGCTTATAACTAGGCGGTGGTGGAGCACACCTTTAATCCCAGCACATGGGAGGCAGGTGGATCTCTGTGAGTTTGAGGCCAGCCTGGTTTACAGAGAAACTTCCAGGGCGGAAGAGCTATTTGTTACACGGAGAAACTGTCTCAAAAAAAAGTGTATTTTTGATGCTTTTGGCTGTCTGTGGTCTGAGTGGTGAATGGGAAGGCTTGAAAGGCCGGTTTTGAGCCATATCTCCTATACTTCCCTGTGTAAACATGTCCAGAGATTTGATCGGGGGAAGGAAAACTTCAAGCGATTCCATTTCCTACACTTTTGACCTGCTGCCTGGTGTGTAGTAAACCCCTTACACATTGTAGACACAATCTGACCGGACTTTGAGGGCAGGGGGTCAAACCCAGGACCTCGTGCATTCTAGGCAAGTGCTCTTTGACTGAGTTGTACCCCTCAGCCCCTTTCTAGTTCATTAAAAAAAGAAGAAAACATTTATTCATGTGCGTTGGTAGTTAGCCTACAGATACGTCTGTGTGAGGGTGCCAGATTCCCTAGAACTGGAGCTACAGACAGCCGTGAGCCACCGTGTGGGTGCTGAGAACTGAGCCCAGATCCTCTGGAAGAGAAGCCAGTGCTCGTAACCACTGAGCCGTCTCGCCATCCCACCTTTTCTGGCTCTTTAAGACAGCTTCTGATATAACCCAAGCTGAACTCAAACCCTCTATGTAGCCAAGAATGACTTTGAACTCCTGATTATCCCTGCTTCCTTTTGAATTACAGGCATGAACCTGACTTTTTAATGTTGACAAGTGGCTCTGATAAAATATTCACTTGAGAGAAAATAGAGTATTTGGAAGGTGAACTTGGCATATGGCCAATGGTTTGAGGTCTTGATGCAGACTAAGCCTTGCTAGATGTAGGTTATGGCTGCTGCAGGGGGAGGGGATTTTGGAGTTGCCCTGTCATTTGGTGAACACTGATGCAGAGGACTAAGTTGGCCAGGTGGGGTGGGGTCAGGGGGAGGAGTTTCGCTCTAGACTTGCTGATCCTGAGTGCATAAGGGACACCCAGGAGAGAGTCTGCCTAGAGACACAAATGCCAGGAGTGTCCTAGTGAGGTCACAGTAGAGGAATGTGGGAAGAGGTAGTGGAAGAAAATTAGAAGATGGTGGGTATTATCCTGGGAAACCCAAACGTTGGGCATAAAGAGGGGAACAAGAGTCCCAGGGGGAACAAGGCGTTCCAGAGAGAAAAAAGCAGGACAGCTTAGTGTCATGCGGTCCGGGGAAGAACCATCGGGCACAGTAAACTCTGAGCCAGTGAGGAGTAGCCCAGCCCCCACTGGGCATGGCCGTGTGTCACCAGAGACACCATCGTGAGTAGAAAGTCAATGGGTTTGGGATGAGACTTGAATTTGGAGTCCGAGTCTGCCACTTACTGTATAACTCTAGACAACCTAAAAATCTCCCAGTACTCCAGCCAGCAGAGGAATGTGACTTACTCTAGTGTTTGCTTGTTTCAGGTTTTTTTTTTTTTTTTTTTTTTTTTTTTTGGTTTTTACGAGACAGGGTTTCTCTGTATTGTTTTGGAGGCTGTCGGTCCAGCCCGGCCTGCCTCGAACTCACAGAGATCCGAGTGCTGGGATTAAAGGCATGCACCACCACCGCCCGGCTTGTTTCAGTTTTTTTAAGATGGATATTCTGTAGTCCGTGTTGGCCTTGAACTTGTGATATATCCAAAGATGACCTTCAACTCCTGATCCTCCTGTCTCTGCCTCCCAACTGACAAGAGCTTAATTTTAAACAGTGAAAAGACACTGCAGCAGTTCGAATGTGGAGGTGACATGATCGGTCTTGTAGAGCATCTGTGTAGAGAGCAGACCTAGGGACCACAGTGGAAGCAGCTATAAGTGCTGAGCTTGAGAGGCGGAGGAGATAGAGGCGGTGAAGGTCACAGCTCGGGAAATGTAGGGCTCTTCTGCACAGGGAGTCAGCCAGTCATCTAGGATGGAGCTTGAGGACCTGACTTCTAAATGTTACCCTAATCAGGTAAGTGGACTGTGTGCCACTCTTGATGTGGGGAGGACCCCAAAGAGTGGGTTAGGAAAATGTCTGGGTGCAGAATGGGAGCTCTCTTCAGGATGTGTTGACTCGGGGAGGTTGATCAGACAACTATCTGGAAGGATGCTATGCTTACCACTGTCCCACCAACAGCCAGGCATCCATTTGGAAAGTCAAGCAGGCTCTGAGGCGCGAGGAGGGAAAGAAGCTAGAAGGAATACATTGTGGAGTGGTTATAATTACAGGGACATATGTATGGGAGGAAAGGGCTGGAGTCTGGGTGAAATGGTGCACACGTCTGGAACCCCAACACTCAGGAGGCAGTGACAGGGGCATCTCAGTGAGTCTGAGGACATCCGGGCTATGCAGAGAGTTCCAGGACACCCAGAGCTGTATAGAAAGATCCTGCCTTGAAAAGGGGGGAAGGGGGGCTAAGTTATCCATATTTTGGAGGTTAAGCAGAGGCAGAGAAGTTATGGAGAAAAGGTGGTCAAAGAGATAGGAGCAGAGCCAGGGGGTGGGGCTCGGTGGCCTGGAGGCCCCGTTGAAGCTTTAGAGGGGAAAAGGGAGTAGACACCTGTGCCGGATGCCACTGAGAGGCTGGAGGAGTCACAGCTTTGGCCTTCAAAGGGTATTTGCAATCTGGAAATGTCTTCAAACTCATGGGACCAAAGTGTACTTACAACGGGGAGGAGGAGGAACAATGATGAATAAGGACACAGAGGCGGCCTGCCACGAGCACTCACCCTTAGCATCCACAGATAGCTACTACTGCATACTTGAAAGCCGGATGCAGAATCTGGGCTGTATGTGACGACGTGTGTCTTTGGGAAGGAGAAGCTACAGCTGCCATCAGGTACTCAAAGAACAATGTGTCCCCACAGACCCGGCCAGAAGATCCAGTGGCTAGTTAGGGACTGCCCACACTCCTGCTAGACAGGAGTTTTTTCACCCTCTCTGGGTACTGGATCCCTCCCTATTCCAGAGGAGCCCTTTAAAACCCTTTGAGAGTTTTCTGGTCGAAATAGTACCTTTGTGCGCCCTCTGGTGGATGCTATAAAATGCAACCTGGATAGCTACATGCTATATTTGGAAATACTTAAAAAAATAAATATTTTCTGTTCTCTTAGGCTGTCTTACAGTCAAATGCACTCAGTAGGAATGATACAACACTGTTACCTCCCCCCAGAGAATGTCAAATATGCTATTTAGTTTCTATATGGTCCTTAAAAACAGCGAAGCTGAATCCAAACTATTATAATAACTTGAGGAAAGGTTATCACCACAGTGCGCGTAGGCTGGATCGTTCTTTCTACATCCACTCACAGCATGTGTAGTAGACTTAAAACGTTTCTTGATGATCTGTGTCATCGGCGATGCGGTAGCCCCAAGAGTAAACACCATGGCTGCTTAGAAACGCAAGTGGGCTGGAGTCTGGACAATATACCTCGAGGTCGTCCGCGTCTCTTATTAGAAACTTCTAAGGGGTCTTCTGGTCCCAGGTGCTTCAGGAGCTGCCAGTTACCATTCAGACATGGCCAAGTCCAAGAACCACACCACACACACACAACCAATCCCCCAAAGGGCACAGAAACGGCATCGAGAAACCCCGGTCACGAAGATGCTCTTAAGGAGGTCGACCCCAAAGGAACATGCGCTTTGCCAGGAAGCGCAACAAGAAAGGCCTGAAGAAGATGCAGGAAACAGTGCGAAGGCCATGAGCGCACGCGCAGAGGCTACCACGGCCCTTGTGAAGCCCAAGGCGGTTAAGCCCAAGATGCCAAAGGGCCCCAGCCACAAACTCGGCTGCCTTGCTTTCATCGCTCACCGCAAGCCTGGGGAGAGGATGAGAAGCTACATGGCTCTGCCATCCAAAGCCCAAGGTTCAAACCAAGGCAGAGGCCTCGACCCCAGCTCAGGCTCCCAAGGTTGCCCAGGCCCCATAGAAAAGGTTTCTGTTTGCCAATGTGAAGACACATGAATTTTGTGACACACCTACACCCTATTTGCAAATGATCAGGACCCTATGATGTTTTTACAATATACTTGAGGCAAGATATGTTTTTAAAAAATGAAAAAAAAAGAAACTTTTAAGGGGACTGCCCCCCTCTGTGGTGATTTTATGATTTATTAAAGCTTGTCTGAGGATTCAGAAGGCAAAGTCACCACAAGCCATAGAAGCCAGCCAGGCACACACCTCTAATCCCAGCAGCCAGAAGCTAGGAGGTGGTGGTGGTACACACCTTTAATCCCAGGACTCAGGAGTAAGAGGTAGACGGATCTCTGTGAGTCCAAGGCCACCCAGATCTACACAAGATTGACTCAGTCTAAAAGAGAACTATAGCTCACGCGGCACTAGAGGGGTGTGAAAGACAGGATCAAGTAGTCAGGAGGAGGCGTTCATTCTCTCGCAATGCTGAGGGTCTGAGGCCTGGTGAGAGCTCCTGGAGACAGGCTCAGCCCATTCAGCCTGAGGGAGAGGTAAGAAGCTAGTGGCCAGCTACTTTGCTTTTCTGATATTCTGCTTGAAGTTTGAACCCCAATATCAGTCTCTGAGTCTTTTATTTATTTGTGTTACACCCCACTTCCCAGAACAGTCCACCCTAGAGGACAGCCAGTTCTTAGAACACTGGAGTCTGAGGTTCATGGTTCTTTCATTTACTTTACTTTTTCTTAGTATCGTATGTGTGCATGATATGTGGGGGGTGTCTGTCTGTTAGTGGGGGATGTCTGTCTGTCAGTGGGGGATATCTGTCTGTCAGTGGGGGATGTCATCGGTGGGGGATGTCTGTCTGTGGCGTGGATGTGGAGGGTACAAGACAGCTTTGCAGAGTTGCTTCTCTCTCCACCTTTATATGGTGTGGTGATTAGTTCTAATTGTCAACGACTAGACTCACCCGAAGAGTCTCAATGAGGGCTTGTCAAATCAGGTTGACCCATGGGATGTTGGTGGGGGATTGTCTTGATTATGCTAATTGACATGCGGAGACCCAGCCACACATTGGACAGCATCATCCCCTGGGCTTTCGGTCCTAGACTAAATTATAGAGGGCAAGCCGAGCGGTGGGCATGCATGCATGCATTTTCTCTCTCTGCTCTCGACCGTGGATGTGTCTAGCTGCTTCAAGTCCCTGCTTTGCCATCCTTGCCACGAACTGTGGCCCAGAACTGTGAGTCACATAAGCTGTCACTGCTGTATACCAGGGCTATGAAGGAAACTTAGGGGTTGTGGGTTCTAAGGACTGAACTTCCAAGGTCAACAGATTTTCTTTCACAGCAGGTCCTTTACCCATCGAGCCATCTTGCTGACCTTGATATGTCCTCTAGCAAGTTTAGGACCCAATGAATGTTGTTTGTTTGTTTGTTTGTTTGTTTGGTTTTTGGTTTTTCGAGACAGGGTTTCTCTGTGGCTTTGGAGGCTGTCCTGGAACTCGCTCTGTAGACCAGGCTGGTCTCGAACTCACAAAGATCCACCTGCCTCTGCCTCCCGAGTGCTGGGATTAAAGGCGTGCGCCACCAACGCCCGGCCCCAATGAATGTTGTAATGAAAACCTGGTTACTTGAAAGGCAGGAAATACTTTCCTAGTGATGAGTTGCCGAAAGGGAACCATGGGCATGAGGAGCCAGTCATCTCAGAATGATGTCTGTGAGGGAGTGTGGGCATCCCACGAACTATCATGAGAGCTATCAGTGTGTTACTCATGAACTGTGTCTTTCTAAAATGAGATCCGTGGGTGATTTGACCTAGTTCAGTGGCTCACATTCTGCTGGAACAGTGTCGGAAAGGGAGGCTCTCTGCATGAGAAACAACAGTCACCTGGGAATTTGGCCAGGAAGCTGCTTTAAACAAGATAGCAGGTAACCAATACAATGTAACATTTGGGAACCCTTGCCTCTGAGCAAATCAAAAATGATAATCTGAAGATGTTACTGTGTTTCTCAAGCCTGTGAAATGTTCTACTTACTATTAAATAGACTATCATCCACAAGTACGGACAGAAAAACATATATTGAAGATCTAGTTTATTTTCTTCTACATGTAGAGGTATACATGTAGAGGAATAGGCAGAAAAAATAGTTCTAAGATTTCTCTTTATCACAAATAAAGTAGCCATGCTGCCATCAAATAGACAAATTCATATTCATTTAGCAAACACACTTTCTTGTGGCTAAGGTTACCTGCAGGTGGGCTTTTCACGTGGCACTCATCCCTCTTGATAGAAAGTTCTTCTTCCAAAACCTCCTTGATTCTCTTATGGGGCTCACAGTACAAAAACGTCTTCCCTGGAAAGGTATTCACAATTGATTTATCACCAACTATGCCCAGCCTTCCAGCTATTATTCCTATGTGAATAGAGTTCCAAAAATAGCATGTCATCTCTTAGAAATTGCAGACAGCTTGCCCTGCAGGCTCTACTTTGGGATGATCTCTTTCATCACAACTTCTCATTTGGAAGACTTCATGCTTTTTTTTTAAGATTTATTTATTTATTATGTGTACACTGTTCTGTCTGCATTCATCCCTGCAGGTCAGATCTCATTGCAGATGGTTGTAATGGCTGACATGTGATTGCTGGGAATTAAACACATCTTAAAATAATGTTCTACAGCAACCTTTCTTTCTTCATTGTTTCATTTACTGTTGTTTAATTTGCATATTTGCATACAATTATTATGTAAGTGATGGTTTAATGTCTGTCTTTTTTTTTTTTTCAGACAGGGTTTCTCTGTATTGTTTTGGAGGCTGTCCTGGAACTCACTCTGTAGACCAGGCTGGCCTCGAACTCACAGAGATCTACCTGCCTCTGTCTCCGGAGTGCTGGGATTAAAGGCATGCACTACCTATGCCTGGCTAACATCTGTCTTTTAAAACCAGCCATCAATTCATAAAGGCTGAAGTCTTTCTGTTCCTCTCATTGGAATATCAGGACTGAGTTTGGCATAAAAGACAGAAACTGGGTAACGGTGGCCCACACCTTTAAACCCAGCACTCAGGAGGCAGAGGCAGGTGGATCTTTGTGAGTTCCAGACCAGCCTTGTCTACAGAGCCAGTCCTGGACAGCCAGAGCTACACAGAGAAACCCTGTCTGGAAAAATAAGAACAAATAAAAGAGATGGACAACAGCAGATGCCAGGTAGAATGTAATGAGTGCGTGCCTATCAACACAGCCCTACAACCTCCAAGAGCTTCCTGCTGTAAGTCAAGGAGCTGTAGCGAACTCAAGCAAATTCTTCAGATATTTAAGACCTGATGTTACTCTCACAAAAGTATGGCAGGCATTCCCTCTTGTTGCTGTTTAACCAACAGAGAGCAGGAGTGTGGTATGAGTGTACTTGTCCTGAGTGCAGACTGTCCCAAAGAGGACACGCTGTTTGGACAGTGACCCTGAGCCACTTCTGATGGTGAGGACTCAGACATACCCCCCCCACTCAGAAAAGGTACAACCAGACACATTTGGGCTCTCATTCTTGTTTCCTGAAGGTTAGAGTCATGTGAGTAGGAAGCAGGGAGTAGAAAGAGTAGAGCCCAGCGGTTTTAGATGGTGTCTGTGAAGAGTCACAGCCTTCACCAGGAAGGAAGAGTCTATACCAGATCACAGAGAAGAGCTGACTGCTCAAAGTGCAGGGCTCTTGGCAGACCGCTGTGCGGCAGCCAGGAGACTCAGCCCACAGAGGGAAGTGCTGAAGGAGATTTGGGGAACCTTGAAAGTGGAGAATGATGGAAAGCTCGTGAGGGAAAGGCCCCAGTTAAGAGAAAGGAGGTGCAGGAGGGAGGGAAAGGGACTGGAGACAAAGAAAAGAAGGAAGACAGATGTCCATGCACTATACCTCTGCTCATCAGCTCCACCAGCTTGGCCAGCAAACTGTCGTGTGCAGGAAACCAGGGGTGGAGGAATGGGGGGTGGGGGGTGGGGGTACTGCTGAGAGCTGTGTAGCTCTGTGTAGACAGGCTTGTGGACCTCCAACAACAGCTCATACTGATTTTTTTTTAGCGCACCTAAGCATCTTACTTGTGTTTCTTTTTCTCACGGTTACCTGTGGGCTAGTATAACTGTTGACATTTTATAGCAGGAAAAGCCTGGCATGGTGGCATATTGGTCCCTGGAGCTCACTGACCGGACAACAAGTAGTCATTCAGCCAGTCCAGCCAATCCTGCATGCAAACTTCCGGATCAGTGGTACATCCTGTCTCAACCAAACTTGGTGGGACCTAGGGTTGTCTTCTGCTCCCCCCCCCCACTCCTCCCACCCCTCCATGATCACCTCTCTGGGGATTAGTCAGAGGCTCCGACAGCCCTGGAAACTGTTGCATTCCTCCTTGGCACTCATGCATGGTCCCTTTAAAAATCAGAGCCTGTATGAGCCAACTCAGTTGAAGGCAGCACTTGGGCTCAGGAGTCCTTGAAGAGGAATGCCCCCTCCTACACCCTCGGCCTCAAGAGACCCGGGGTACATTGTGCCAGTGTCTTTATCTGTCTTTGCCAAATGGCTCTACATCCGTCTCCTAGACATCTTCAGGGCTTCGTCCAGTTCTGCCCTGGGGTCCCCAGCCTTGCTGTCACTTGTCCCCCACGGTCTCACGGTCCCACGTCTCCACGGCCACGGTTTAAGACTGGAGCTGAACTTACATTGTTGGCGGGGCTCTTGGGGGCCTCCCGGCTCAGCGCGAACCCTGCACCCCAGCCCTGGGGGCCTAGGCTGCTCCCCGTCGCGGCCCGCCTCCGCTGCTGTCCCTGCCGTCACCGCCAGCGCCTCCTGCCGCCTCATGCCACTGGGGTCTCCGCGGCCCGGGGCCACCAGGCCTCTCAACTCCGCCACCGGCTGCTCTGGAACGCGAGGCGTCTGAGGTTGCCATAGTGACCGCGGATGCTCCGGGCCTCTAGGGCTCTGTTAACTTCTCCCAGTCCCCGGGTGCTGGCGACAAAAGGCTGCGATTCCTTAGATACAGACCCGCGCCAAGGACCCAACTTCTCAAGAGAGGTGTTTCAGCTGCGTGGCTGGGAAACCGAGAGTCACAAAACTGAGGTGCCACTCAGCCAAGTCCGCTCCAAAGCCCCACGGGTCGGTCACCGCCTCCGACAGGGAAGGTATGAGCGCTGGAATGCAGCCCCAGGACCAACGATTCCCTACTATGAATTCCCAACTTTGGGGCTGCAAGTTACTAAATAACTGTAGTTTACGAGGAGTTTTGTATTCAACGTCCATGTCAGCCCACGAAACCCCCGTTTTACAGGTGACAAATCCACAGAACTGGAAAAGAAAGTCAGAAAAGTTGAGAGTTTGAAGCAGCGGCTACCTCCGTTTGTCTTTTTGAAGTCATTAAAACGTTACATTACCTTTTTAGAAAGCGAAATAATTCGACAAGGTTTTTACAAAATTCAGGAGACACTCCCTCCCCCAACATGTCTGTCTGTACTGCATACCAGTTGTAACTGCTTTTATTCTTCTTTTTTGGAGGGTAAGACAGGGCTTTTCTGTGTAGAGCTGGCTGTCCTAGAATTCTATGTAGACTCTGCTGGCCCTGAACTCACAGAGATCCTCCTGCCTCTGTCTCCCGAGTGCTGGGATTAAGGACATTCTGCCACCATGCCTGTCTCCCATCTTTACATTCCTGAACAAACCTTCATACATGTTTGCGGCTCATCTGTCACTGACCAGCCTCCCTACACCTAGACATTCCCCTGCCTCTGCCACCTGAGTGCTGGGATCAAAGGTGTGCACCACCATCGCCCGGCCCATTTTTATTCTTGATTGATAATTTCGTGTTTGCAACCATTAAACCACACTGGTGGCATAAAATAGTCTAGAAACTGACCTAACCTTGTATGAGCGCCAGATATAAGCAAAGGCATGTGGGTGTATGGGGTGTGACTGAGAGAGAACCTTTGGAGCAGTGGCGGGAGATAAATTGGATGTTCGTCTGGAAAAACCCCCGAACCTGGCATATAGCAAACACGAAAGCAGATTACATGGGCCATAGTCATAAAGGTGGAACACCAAGGCTTCTAGGTGATGTCTATTGAACATGTTCATGACCTTGGAGTTGGGAACAATTTCCTATGCAAGCCACGAAAGACATTAATCCAAAGAGAACAATGAGTTAGGGAACATAAAAATTAAGATAATCTCTTGACTAAAGTCACCGTTAAGAATGTGGGGAGTCAGCCGGGCGGTGGTGGCACACGCCTTTAATCCCAGCAATCGGGAGGCAGAGGCAGGCAGATCTCTGTGAGTTCGAGGCCAGCCTGGTCTACAAAGTGAGTTCCAGGACAGCCTCCAAAGCTACAGAGAAACCCTGTCTTGTAAACCCCCCCCCCAAAAAAAAGAATGTGGGGGAGTCAAGTCACACACTGGGAGAACATTTCCAGAACACGTTAGCTAACAAAATAACCAGGATTACATAAAGAAGTCTCACGGGTCAGCACGGATAGGGAATAGAACTCAGTAAGAGCATGGGGAAGGATAAACAAATGGACAGTAACAAAAGGAGGGATCCCAATAGCCATCACACACGAGACACTGTCCGACACCATTTGTCATCAGGCCACGCAATGGAAGCGGCAAGGAGCTGTTACTTCCTCTGTGCTAGAGTGGCTGCTAAGCTAGCAACCAGGAAACAGTCACGAAGCAGCGGCACCTGCTGGGGGCACCTAGCAACCGGGCTCGCATTCTCAGCTGCTCAGTGCCAGTGGCCGTGGAGGGTTAGGCAGGATTGTGTGTGTCTGGTTGGGGCAATCCAGTGAGAGATTGTCAAAAACAAAAGTGTAAATTTATGTGACCAATATGAAGAGTCCCCCCCTCCCCCTGCTTCTACTAAGGAGGAATGTAAGTACTCTAAGTCCTAAGATCGGACACGTCCTAAACTGTGTGTACCAAAAACACGCACTAGAATGCTCTCAGCAACACCACTCACCAGAGCCCCAAAGACTTGTAAAAGAATTAGAAATAAGATGTACCTACTAGTTATTGTGTTCTTAGAATAGCACAATGAGAAAGAGCAAACTCCTTCGTGTAGAAATGTAGGAGAATCTACAGTTGTGATATTGTACATTACTCCATGGTGCAGTAGAAACTAAGTAGAGATGATGGAGTAAGACTAGTTTTAAGGAAACGCTGAGGGTGTGCAGGGCAGGCTTTGGGTCCCCAACTCTGTTCCGCACCTTGATCTGAGGGCAGCTACAAGGTTTGTCCATTTTGTATAGTTCATCAAGGTTTCTAAATGTTGTTGTATGTATGGTATATGTCTACAAGTTAACAATTAAGCATATTTTAGTTCGGAAAAACGTTTGTCTGAAATTTTACTCATTAAAAACAATATAGTTCGGCCAGGTGATAGTGGTACATGCCTTTATCTCCAGCACTCTGGAGGCAGAGGCAGGTTGATCTCTGTGAGTTCGAGGCCAGCCTGGTCTACAGAGTGAGTTCCAGGACAGCCTCCAAAACAATATAAACCCTGCCTCGAAAAACAACAACAACAACAGCAAAAAAAAACCCAAAACAGTTTATTTGATTAAATAATAAAGAATCACACAGCTCTTCTTTCCTCTCTCTCCAACATGGAAATCCGGAGGTTATTTTATTTTTGGTTGTAGTAACTGCATTCATTTAGGTAGTTTATTTCTTCTTCTTCTTCTTCTTCTATAATTTTGATTTTTGATTTTCCAGTCACCATATGTGTGTGCTACTTAAAATTCCTCTGTGTTTAAGTTATTGGTAAAAAGTATGCAGTACAAAAACAAGGTTTATCCTTTGTAATTAAATGAGAAAAGACCAAAATGTCCACTAGGTGGAAACAAAACCAAAGACCTAATTTAACACACACACACACACACACACACACACACACACACACGCACGCACGCACGCACGCACGCACGCACGCACGCACGCACACATGCGCAAATGCATAGAAGCATGTACTCAGTCTTTAGGAAAAGAAACGAAGGTCTTATACAATGTATTATGTGAAATCACATGACTTAATGGCATTTCAGTAAAAACCCAGGTGAACATATTTTACATTGTATGTTTACTTCTTTAGATTAGAAAAGGTCTCTGTTTAGGTTTTGAGTAATGAGCAAGTAATGGGGTGTTTCCTGCTGCTGTGTTTCTTTGGAGAAGCAGCTCCTATACTTGCTTTCAGCATCTCATCTCAGTTCCCTCAGTCCTAAGCTGCGTTCAAAGCCAACCAGCCCTCCTACTCTAGTAGGCAGCCGTCAGCTCAAATTCATTGAATGTTTTCAAGTGGATTAAACCTCAGAGCAATTGGATTTCCTTCCTCATCTGTCAGTTAACGGGGAAACTGCTCCTTACAAGGGCTTGTTTGCTTGGGATTTTGAAACTCCAGTGAATTGATATAATACAACTTTTTGGTAACTTACAAGATCCCAAAAGCCATCAAGAAAATATACTTCCTTGAATTTGGTCAAGAGGTCATCATGTGTCCCTACTTGCTATAGAAAAGTAAACGGATAAAATTAGTCACCCTTGGATATCCACCTTCAAAAAAGTGTATGGCCATGAGGTCAAGCTAACCCAAGTTATAGGAGAGTCTGTCTCACAAAATCATTCAAAGAAACCCATGCAATTGCAATATGCTTCCTGCATAGGACCTATATTCTGCTGAAAGACTATAAAAGAAAATGATTTTTGGAAGCCACGCCTACCTGAATACCATTATAATCAATAGGTAGAAAGTTCCAATCAGTCTTGAGATCTCTTGCCCAGCCATTCTGCAATCTGACTGTTGTCCATGTCACTAGACAACTGTAGGATTTGCCTTTTTGTCTATAAACGAGTTCCTCCCCACTCCCACCCCCCAGAGGAACATTCATTTGAAGGAAAAACAAAAAGTCAGCTTGTTACCTACATCTGGAAGTATTTCAGCTTTAGTTCACCGACTGGTACTACCCACTAATACCCCACTGCCCCATACTGCCGTTCAATTTCTAATCTTCAAACCAGGTAGTGTAAATCACCAGCTGGTTTTCATTGCAATGACTCTTCTTATTACACCACAAAGAGAAGTTTGCTCCTTAGAGTGTAATTGTACCTATGTGAGGTGGTGAAAACAGGTAAGCTCATTGGTGTGGGGTAGGAGTGTAGTTTCTAGGATGGGACATGGAAATGGGGACGGTTCACGGGGCATAGTGTCTCAGTTATGAAAGTGTCTTCGTTCTAGATGTCTACTGGGCAGCACTGTGCCTGTGGGTAGTGACACTTAACAATTTTGAGAGGGCAAACCTTATGATAAATGCTCTTCCCATAACAGCAACAACAACAAAAGAGGACATTTTTTACATAGAAGAAAAATAGCATAGGGTTTTGCATGGAAGGAGAGATCAGATTAACACATTTGTGGCCTCCATAAATGTGTATTTCACATGCGGCTTTGTGGTATACATATTTAAAATCTAGATGTAAATGACCACGTTTAAAAGAATAGGCTGGGGGCTGGAGAGATGGCTCATTGGTTAAGAACACTGCCTGCTCTTCCAAAGGTCCTGAGTTCAATCCCCAGCAACCACAATGTGGCTCACAATCATCTGTAATGAGATCCGGTGCCCTCTTCTGGCCTACAGGTATACATGCAGGCAGAACACTATACATAATAAATAAATAAATCCTTTAAAAAATAAAAATAAAATAGTGGGCTGGAGGGCTCAGGCATTAAGAATGCATACTGCTCTGTCCCAGAACCCACATCAGTGAGCAGGTCACAACTGTCAAATCTCCGGGGGATCTGACATATTCTTCTGACTTCTTCTGGCTCTCTGGGCACTTACCCTCATACACATACATGCAACTGAAAAACAAAAGTAAATCTTAAGATGTACCTACTAAACTTTTACAAACAAATGTGAAAAGACAAGTCTGTAAAATTCATTGCAACTTTATTCAGTAACACAATAAAATTTACATTTCCAATCATGCAAACTATTGAAAATCAGGATGTGGCTCTGATCTCCACTGAATCACAGAAATTGAAATTTTCTAAAAATAGTCATTTGACCCAAGGGATAAATTTCCTAGAGGCCAAAATTAGGAGTAGAGAATGTTTCCTTCCAAACAACACACAGTATCGGGCAGGTCTCTTTTCCTAACAGTATATGCTAGCTTGGTGTTTGAATGTATTTACATGAGTTCATCAGTGAAATATAAGAAATCTAAAGTAGAATTGATGACTCCCAATTTTGTAAGTATATAGTGGTTGTCCTAATTTCATTTCTGTTGCCATGACAAAATGTCCTGACAAAAAACAACTTAGGAAAGAAAGGTCTCTTTTTTTATTGTAACTGATGTGTGTGACCCCGTGACCTCGTCTGAGAAGTGGAGTTTCGCTGTCTTCCTCTGTCTTATTTTTTGAGGCAGAGCCTCTCACTGGACGGGAAAATAGCCTTCTCTGCTGGACTGGCTGCAGCGAGCCCTGGGGATCCTGCTGTCTCTACCTTACTGGTGTTGGGGTTCAGGTGTGTGCCATCGAGCTACCACACTTGGCTTCCTATGGGGGTCTTGGGGATCCAAACTCAGCTCTTTCTGCTCACAGAGGATGCACCTTACCCTCTGAACCATCTCCCCAGACTCTCACTTTTTTATTATTAAAATGCTCCTATGTTAGGGTGGCTGTGAGTGAAAATGGAGCTCAGAGCATTTTAAAAGGTCCCTGTCCTTCCTGGACTCAATATAATTCTCCAGTGTTCCCAGTTTCAACTCTAGTCCCTCTCAGAGATGAAATCCGGAGGGCCTTGTACGTATAAAGGGAAAAAAGCAAAACAAATGAGGTAGCAGCTTGCTTTTAGGCTGTGAGAGCCACCCCTTCCTTTAGGCCAAGTTTGAAGCCTCCAGATCCTGCTGTGTTGATGAGATGGACCAAAGGATGGACCAAAGGATGCGGCCACACTATTAACTCCACACTATTAACTCCACAATGAGGAGGACTAAATGAACCTGAGTTCTGAATGGATAAAATGATGAGCCAGAAATGAATGCTTTTATGGATTTTTTCATTTGCTCAGTATTAACAATAATCCATCTTGAAAAGGGAGGAAATGAGGAAACTAATCTGGCGGGCTTCAGGAAGATGAAAACAGAATGAGTCATAACCTGGCATTTCCCCACACGTTCATTTTGTCTCAGAATCTCATTTTTTCTCCAGTCCTTGTAACGGTTTTATTTATTTTTTGCTTATTTCTTAATTGTTTTTAGTTTGCTTATCTTTAACTTCTTATTTTGCATATTCCTTAATTTTCCTGTTGAAGTAAAGCTTTGATACATGGCTGGAGCCTTTGAACTGGGGTAGGAATTTTCTTCTTTAAGTCCAGTTCCTTGAATTGTTGAGAGAAACTCTATGCTGCTAATTTTACAGGAAATGTGTGAGAGAAAACCATAGCCCAGGAAAGGAGAACTGTTGTCAGTCTTCAAGGATGCAAAGTCTAGGGCAAGAAGGACATGTGTCCCTGACACACTGGCAAAAGCAGCTACAATACAACGGGTAAGTACTTTATATCGCGTGCACGCCTTGCAACATTTCAACAGGGTGAGACCTATGCTCATTTGTCTGAAGTCACGCAGAGGTGGCAGTCTGGGCTTTGCCTCAGGTTTGTCATTTACAGTCTGCAAAAGCCCCCAGAGCATGCTTCTCTGCCTTCCTAATGCTGGGACCCTTAATACAGTTCTCATGCTGTGCTGACCTAACCATAACATTGTTTTATTGCTACTTTGTAACTGTAGCTTTGCTACTGTTATGAGTCATAATGTACACATCTGATCTGTGACCCCTGTGGGGTCTCCACCCACCATTGCTCTAGGGATTGTGTTGGGAATCTAGATCTGTCTGTTGCATGCATTAGCCAGCACTCAAGTGTGGTTGGTGGCAGCTTGAAATGTGCCCAGTGTGAATCAAGAAGTGTTATAAAACACACTATACTTTGAAAATACACTATAAAAAGCAAAATGTCTCAGTTTTAAAACAATGTGTATGTTTCTCTATTCATTCATTCGTGTGTGGAGGAGACAGGCCAGCTTGTGGGAGTCAGTTTGTCCCAGGAATCAAACTTAGGTTCTCAGGCTTGGTGGCAAACCCCTTACCAACTGAGCCATCTCTCCAGCCCTCAGTTTTTAAATATGCATCTCATGTTGAAAGGAGCATTTTAGATGTATTGGTTTACATATATATTTTTTTCTTAAAAATTAATGTTACTCACTTTATTAGGGGAAAAAAAACCCTTAACACTATGTATGAGGCACATATTATGTTCCCATGCAAACAACATGGACTTAGATTCTCAGAAGTAAAATTTGAGGTTTTAAAAGTTTCCAGGAATTAAAATCATCGGTTGTTTATACTGGATCCTTTTTCTTCTGAACTTAACAGATCTCAAGTTGATTTAGAGAAAGCATTGTCTTACCTGTGCGTCTAAGAATCCTACAGGGTTATGCCATCTGCTAAATGCACTGTGAATGAGTCAGGGGATCATACTACAGACTAGCCAGCTCCGCAGTTCCTAGAGCCCCTTCAGGAAGGGTGATGACAGCCTGTCATCTGCCTGACAGTGTGCCTTTCAACCATCCATCCTTGGGAGCATGGGTGATAACATCAAGAGCTGTGTCTCAGGCAGCCTCAGACTTCTTTTGGTCCTATCTTTACCATGGTAGTGAAACACCATCAACTAGAAATAGTGCCCTCAGATCTCTAGTATAAAGACCCCACAAATCATCACTGTGATAGCTATGTTGTAGACTGGAAGGCTCTTTGGAACACCAACTAGTTTTGCTGTGGGCCTATGAATTCTTTCCACTGAACAATAACAATATTCTTAAGCATAAAAATTAATAAAGATTAAGCCCTGCCGGGTGTTGGTAGCGCATACCTTTAATCCCAGCACTCAGAAGGCAGAGGCAGGCGGGTCTCTCTGAGTTCAAGGCCACCGTGGTCTCCAGAGTGAGTTCCAGGACAGCCTCCAAAGCAATACAGAGAGAACCTGTCTCGAAAAACCAAAAAAAAAAAAAATTAAGCTTTTAGTTATGAAAGACTTTAAACTTACTTGGAATAATTCCCAAGATAAAAGAAAACTTGGCTTATAAACTGAGCTATTTAGCCTGCATAAACTGGAAAGTACGGGTATATAACAGAATCCAAAGTGAGGACTGTTTGTTGGCAGGAGTCTCCTAAATGAAAAAAAAAAAAAAGGAAGGAAACAAGCAGAATAGCCTTCTGGGAAAATGGGCTTCTATATGCCCATTGCTTTCTGCAAAGAAGAGTAGTCAACCCATTCCCTATGAGGAAGAGAAGTGTGGAGTTAGGACCAAGTTCATCCTCCTTGGCTAGATGACAAGTTTGGGTTACATGGAAATCTATCTTAAAAAGCCAAAATTAAACGTTTTAAATACAAAAGTTTCTTTGGTCTCGTATTTACACAGTAAGTAAGATAAGGGCAGGCACATGGCCCTTTCCAAACAGTGCTAGAACCAAAGACTCCTCGACTGTCAGGTAACTACGCAGCTTTGCTTAAGCAGTTTGAGATGTGCGGACTTTTTTTTTTTCTTTTTTTTCGAGACAGGGTTTCTCTGTGGCTTTGGAGGCTGTCCTGGAACTTGCTCTGTAGACCTGGCTGGTCTCGAACTCACAGAGATCCGCCTGCCTCTGCCTCCCGAGTGCTGGGATTAAAGGCGTGCACCACCAACGCCCGGCGAGATGTGCAGACTTTTTTCTGTCCCTTTTGTATCGTTTTCTTGGACAGACTTAAAAGAAAGCTGCCTTCCACTTCCTTGCGAAGCCCTTGTATCCGATACTTAAGAATAAGGGCACATTCAAGCCCCAGATCTTTTGAAGTTATCCTAATTTCTGAGTGTCATATGTAATTCATTTGTTAGCTTTCAAGAGATTTTTATTTTTGGTTTTTCAAGACAAGGGTTTCTCTGTGTTGTTTTGGAGGCTGTCCTGAAACTTGCTCTGTAGACCAGGCTGGCCTCGAACTCACAGAGATCCGAATGCCTCTGCCTCCTGAGTGCTGGGATTAAAGGCGTGAGCCACCAATGCCCGGCGCTTTCAAGAGATATTGTTCTAAAAATTGCTGCATATATACATATAATCATTTTATATATCTGGGCGTTTTGTCTGCATATCTGTGCACCACGTGGTACATGTAATACCCATGGAAACCAGACTAGGGCTTTGAATCCCCTTGAAATTAAATCTGGGTTCTCTGTAAGAGCAGTTAGTGCTCTTAACACTGACTCATCTCTTCAGCTCCACAACCATTATTTCATCTAAGTTGACTGGGTTATGTGGGTTTGCCCAAGATGAAACTGGGTTGACATTTAAAAATGACGTTGAGGCTGGAGAGACGGCTCAGAGGTTAGGGGCACTGACTGCTCTCCCAGAGAACCCTGGTTCCATTCTCAGCATCTGTGTGGTGGCTCACATCTGCCTGTAATGCCAGCACCCCCACACCCTGACACAGGAAAAAACGACACTGGAACGGACAGCTGTTCAGTGTGTTCTTTTCTTCTCGATATGAGCAAGCACTTAAAACACCATTGGGAAACTGAAGATCGTATCGTGCGGTTTAAGAGGCAGTCGCTGTGAAGAAGGCAGGGCAGTGTGTGTGAGGTAGTTGGTCACACTGTACCCAGTGAGGAAGCTGACACAAACACGAGTTGTTAGCTTGCTTTCTCCTTTTTATTTACCCTGGGACTTGAGCCCATGCGATGATGCCACCCACATCTGAATATGGATTCTGTCTTCAGTTAAACTTTTCTAGAAACTCCCTTCCAGACATGCTGCAGGCATATCTCCCAGGCGAGTCTAAGTTGACAATGAGGTGAGCCCCAGTGGCCTTTCCTAGGGCTCAAGCGCTCATGTTGGGGAGACCCTTCGGGACTAGAGGGGCTAGGGAGTCCATCACAACTGTGTTGCAGGCACCAGGAGGAGAAAAGTTAATGTAGTTTGAACAAAATGTGTCACAGATGCAGTGAAGTTATATGCAAGTTAGAAAAGAACTCATGACTTCTGCACTGTCAAACTCTATTTCTATTTACATTGTGTGTCACAACCCACACTCTGGCTGCTGTTTTGTAAGAAAGCCCGAGCCCCTTGTTGTTCTGGTCCATAGGATAATCATTCCTCACTGTTACAATTCCTCGTCCCTTTGCCTTTGCCATGGCTTGTACAAAATGAGGGCTGTGGGGTGGTGGTGGACACTTCCCGGAACTCATGAGTCTAGGTAAGTAGTGCCAATCCAACAGGGAGAGCGACAGGTGAACCCTTTGGAGGCAGTTTTAATCTCTTGGACCAAGGTACAGTTTTGTGCATGTCTAAGTGGAGACACTGACTGGCCATAACAATAAGGTTCACATGGGTTCACAGGGTGAGGTAGGACTGTCCACAGGATTATGAGGAACATGGTGGGGGAGGCAGTGTAAAACATTCAAGGATTAACATCTCCCTAACTGCTTTCCGAGAATGGCCTATATCTTACAAAACATTCAAACGTTCCCTATTTGTTTTAAACTTACAAAGATGTACGCCACTAATTTGTTAGTGTTTCTTGTTTAGAATGAAAGACACTGGAGATACAGAGAAGATAGCCCAACTGCACCAGTATGTTAAAGATGAAAATTTGGAGTTAGCTTATAAAAATATACATCAATACACTAAACACTGAACAAAGACCCAGAGTATGGGATATTTAAAAATAGTTTTCTCTTGGATCAGCACCAAAAAAAAAAAAATACCCTTAGCTTCTGTATTACCCATGTCCAGTTAAAATTACTTCTAAGAAAACTCACAAGCTCTGCAGCATTCACCACAGATGCATTCAAACACCTCTCAAATACATTTGACATCAAGGGTGAACAGGTCACTTGGAAGAAAACTGTGATTCATACAACAATAGTTCTGTATGAGACATCTGCTCTGTATAGGGGGCTATTTTACATCTCATCCATAGGAGGCATTGGTACTTTGAAGCTTGAGAGAATTACTAAAGCCATTAAGACGGAGGTGAAGAGTTTGTACAGCCTTCCGCGATTTCAAAGAGGTAGTGATAGATGCTTGTCCTCCTGGCGATATCGGAAGCAGTTTCCTGTGAGTTGTTCTTCAGGCCTGGCTTGATGTAGCGATTCATCAGGAGGAGTTCCAGGGTGTCCCTGCTGTCTCTGTTCCCAGCAGCAAGGTGCAAAGGGGTCAAGAGGCCTTTGGTTTGGGCATTGATGTCTGCGTCGTGCTGCAGTAAGAAAGAGGCCACCCTGGTGTTGTTCCACTTGCAAGCACTGTGTAGTGGTGTCCAGCCATCCACAGTCACTGCATGAACATCTGCCCCCTGAGCCACCAGCTCGCGAACAACGTCTAAGTGGCCACTGTAGGCTGCTCGGTGAAGAGGTGTATACTCGTCCTCGTCCCTAGTGTTCACGTCAGTGGCCTTCTCAGAAAGTAGCCTCTGCACGGTAGCAAGCTAAGGAAAAAAACAAGAGAACCTTAAAAGTCCAACCCAAAGCAAAACACTCAACAAGGGTAGTTACATCACCCAGTGGTTTAGACTTTAAGATTTCCCTTAAGGGGAGGAGGTAACTGATTGGTGATGAAACAAGTTACAGCTCATTAAACTCAGTTGAATCTCAACAACCCGATTCTCTGAATATCACCCCACACATTTATCCTACTCAGATAAACGCTTATTGCCCAATGCCATGGCCCTAAATGAACAAAGGGTTTAACTGTATATTTTACCTGTAAAGCAAGCCTAACTTTTATATAACATATCAATATACATAGTATATGAACCAAAAAATAAAAACCAAACTTCTTTTAACAGTAGGAAAAAGGGATGCTGAAGCAACATAAGACTAAAGAGCTCAACTTCTACTACAGACAAGCTCAGATACATGCCACGTTGCTGCGCGTCAAGTCTGGACATGGGCCTCTGACGGAATACATTGTGCTCTGGGATTATAGAGTGCCAAGCCCTTTCCGGTTTTCCTCTAACAGCACAGCCACGGGGGAACTAGTAAAATTAGGTACAAACGGTCAGGAGGGAGAAGTACTTGGGTACTGTTTTTGGATAACTCTGGGCAAACCTGCCTTGCCTTTTCTCACAGGCCTTTTTGAGGGGTTGTCATCTAATTTCCATCTTACCCTAATATCCTTAACAATACTTACCTGCGGAATGATCCTAATGATCTAATTAGAGGGTTGCTAATAATTACCCCCAAACCTCCCAACATCTAATCAGTTTATAATGTAGTGTGCATTTTTATATACACTATTTTATTTGATACTCCTACATACATGGGACAAATATTAAGCTGTCATTTTTAAAGACAAGAAATGAAAAGGATCAGAAATGGTAGAATATAGCCAAAGATAGACAGAGATTCAGGGGCAGGTCTTTGGGCTCCAAACTAAATGCTTTTCCAGCTATGTAATTGTTTCTTTTTTTACCCGATTTTTTTCAGCAGCCCAAAGAAGCAATTTGCTTGGGTCTTTTTCCATTTTTTTCTCTTGCAATTGATACCACTCTTCGTGTTTTTCCTCTTGGTCCTCATCTTCATCAGAATCGCCTACCCAGAGACTCTGAGTACCAGTGGGAATCAGGTGTCCATCGGTCTCCAACAATTCAAGCTGATTAAACTGTTCAGAAAAGTCCAAAGAGTTTTCTGGGTCTGGTTTTTCATCATCCCTTACTTTTTCTTTTTCCATTTTTGCTACTATTCTAAATAAAAAGCATTTCAAGCAGTAGGGCAGTCTTTCTAGAGACAAATTATGTCTGCACTGCTTGATTCACTCCAATCTGAAAACATAAACACAACAATCATTAGACATTGGTTACTGGGCATCAGCAACATGCATACCAACCTTGCAGACAAGATAGATACTTTGTCATAAACACTTTACTGTTTTCTCATAATACCCATTGCATTTACTAAGTATTGAACCTCAGAGGTTTCTGCTACCTATGATCATTTATAGTCTTTATAATTTAAAAAAGTTTTCTACTAATAGCCATAACTACCTTAATTTGAAATTATATATATATATATGTATATATATATATATACATATATATATATTAGGACAGATGGAATCCAGGTACAGTGAGTACATAGGAGGGCTGTAATTCACCCAGTCCTAAAGATTAAAAGTTTTCTGTGGGTAGAGATGATTACTCTGCTAGCTTGCCATATTAATTCATAAACTGACATCAGCTTAAAGAGCTACCCAGAATATAAGCATCAATTAAAGAAAATGAGAAGTTACCCTGAGAACCATTTATCAGTCTCTTACTGTATTTATTAAACTTTGTCATTTTTCATTGCTAGTTTCAAATGTTACCACTTCCAATCTCTGTTGAGCCGATTAGATTTCTCTCTAATGTTTATTCTTTTAGGTGCGATGTCTTACATTGTTCTGCAACTAACCTAACTAATCTTTTAAGGATAGGCCATCTTCAACTTAGATTTTTTTTTTGTGCCATTTGTATGTAACCCTGATTAAGAAGTATTTGTATCATTAAATTTAAGACCTATCATTTAACTTTGCTTTGAATGGCCTCTAAGAGTAGCTAGTCAGTTATACAAACGCCTCATGGTTTTGTTCTACTTAATTTTACGTATTTAGCATTTTGTTGTCCTAGTAAGCTTCATTACTAGTGATGAGAGCACCAAAATCACAACCAGTAACTTCTTAGGGCCTATAACTGCAGTGTAAAATGTAAAAACTCCACTAAGGTTTGTTAGATCTTGACCAGGATTTTTTTAGAAGAGCTATCAGAACTACTTTCTTGCCGTTTTCAAGTTTTCCTTTCATCTTAAACTATTTTCTAAAGAGTTGCTATGTCAGCTCAGTTCATTAAACGCTTAACACGTTAATACCAAAATATCACAGCACCTACCAGGCCCCCGCCCCACCTTCCGTTACGAAAACGCCTATCAACCCTGACTTTACCGTTCCAGATGTAAGCGACATACAATTGTCTTGGTATATGTAATTTAAAAACAAAACCCAGACGTATCTCCTGACTCAGGGTAGAGCCCTTAATGCATACTACTGCGGATGAACAGGGTGCTCCTAACGTAAAGGAAACACTCCACGTCGAGATAGACACGCACTGCCGCGACCCTGGTCTCAATGAGACGGAGCCCCACTTCGGGGGACTGCGTCGAGATCCTGGCGGGCTAAGGCAAGCAGCGGCGCATCAGGACCTTCGGGGGTCTGATGTAGTTCAAAGATCCACATTGGTTTTCCACTGCACTCCCTCCGAGGCTCGGCAAAGGTGGTGAGCCGGGGGTCCCGGGGCGGCCGTCCGCGGGAAAGCAGGGAGGAAAGGACTCTGGCCTAGCGGGCGAGGGCTTCCGAGTCCCACATCCGAGAGGCGACGTGGCCCGCCACCCTCGGCCGCCCGCCTGCCCCACCGCCGCTCCGGACACTCGCCTCACCTTCCACCGAGAGCCCCGCCGAGACCAGCGCTTCCGGGTTCTCCCCCCCTCCGCTGCCGATGATTGGCTAACTTGCGGGGCGAAAGACCTTCTGTGTCCAATGAGAGAGCGAGGGAGGCCCGTGACGCCGACGCCCCCAGTGGATCTCGCGAGAGGTGCAGGTGTGGCTCTCCCGCGCCAGATTCGGGTTTCCGAGTGCGGTGTTGTTGCCCTGGCGGCTCCCGCCCTTTCCTCCCCGAGCCGGGGGTGACCTGTGGTCTCGCTGGTGGGCTCCGACGAGTCCGGCTTGGGGTAACTTAGGCCTCGCGCCGGCCTTTCTGCGTGGGGGTCCACGGCGGAAGCCCCGAGTGCGTGGGGCCGTGGTGGAAGAGGGGCCGGGTGGACCGGGAGGGGTGCGGGCTCTGCGTTCCGGCCTGGAGCCCCGCGGGTGGTGGAGGGTCTTCTGCGGTGGCGGCGCCGCCTTCTCGGTGATCACCCTGAGCTGTCACGCAGACCGCGTGTTTGGTTATGCACCCTAGCTTTAAATGGGGGCTGCCTCACAAAAGCCCTGTTAGTGTTAAGTGTGTGTGTGGTCTCTCCTCTGAAGCCCCGCGCTGGCTGCTTAAATTTATGCACGCGCAGAGTTTTGATCCTCTCCATCCAAGGGATTTTTCTACACACCAATCTCATGTAGGAAACAGGAGAGAAGTAGTCACGGTAGTGCAATTAGGGCCTCACTTGGAAGATACGACGACTTTTCTCTATTTTAGGTCGTGAAACTGGGTAACTAGTCTTCAAAACTGCCAGTGTTTAGTTAAGAAGTCTACCCTGCAACTGAACTCACGTTGGTGAAATGTGTGCAACCTTTATAAAAATGTGTATTGTGATATTTATTTTTAGAATTCGGACTCGGGTGGCTTTTCTGACATACCTGAACCCTGAACCGCAGGGTACTTGAAGAGGAACTCTACTCCAAAGGAGCTCTACCATAAAAATGAGCCCCACAGATCCACTGTAAGCCTCGCTTATTAACGGTGACGATCTTAACAGAAAATGTGGCACTTTCACAAAAGCCGCAGCGGAACTTAATAGTGAACAGAGTTATCACCAAAAACATGGAGTGCTTAAAGGCACGCTGTATGCATCTTAGCAAACAGATAAATACGGCGCTGTAGAGGAGTTTGCTGCAGGGACTCATTACGTGGCCCTGCAGGGAAGCTCATGCTCTGTGCTTTGTAAAAAGTTCGAGTCTATAGATAGTCTTAAAAGTAGGTTGCTCTAGTATTGACTAAATTGGAATGAATTTGAACAAATGGAAATAAACAAAAGTACTATAGATGTTAGGTGGGTGGGGCGGGTGGGTGGGCTTGAACATTGATGAAGTCTTCCACTCCGGTTTCAAGTTCTTGCAAGGTCAGCTACTCTCCGGGCTTGCCTTGTTTTGTTTTTCACTTGTATAGCTAGAATAATACTGCGCCTCCCAGGCGAATTTTGCGGTCTAAATGAAAGAATTTCTGTGAGAACACATACTCTGGAAGCCTGTGGTTTGTGAGCCGAGAAGCTTGTGGAGCAGCGTGTCGAGGACTCCATGCATACAACTACTAAATTTCTGAGTTTGGAGTTGTATACAAAATATATTTTGAATTCATAGTGGTTCAGCGAAGATAGCCAGACTTTTTTAATGCCTTTTAGTCTTGCTTCTACTACGTGTGTGTGGTGAATGAGTTATCTTCTCTGTGTCTGGCCTTCGTATTTTTCAGAGATAGTGACCATACCTGCCTCTTTCCCTGTGGGGACTGAGATGAGATCTTAGATATGAAGGTATCTTAAAGAACTAAACTTAGTGCTAAGTTTAGTGAGTGTTAATAATGGCGAAGCTGCTGGTTCACATGAAAATACCTTTATCATATTTCGTTTGGATTTAAACAACTCTGTTTTGTTACTTGGCCAAATTTACTATTGGAAAACTGTGTAAAGAACAGAGTCAGGCAGTTATTTTCAGGGTTTGGGATGTAAGCAGCCAGTATGTTAGTATAAAATCTATTCTTAAGCTTAGAGGAAGACTTTTAAATGACTTGCCTGGAAAAGTGTACAGTCAGATAATAACAAGGGAGCAAAGCCTTTCCCGTATTTTGTGTAACAACGTAGGAACAGATCTGACAGTGTAAAGAACTGATTATAACAAGGCTATGAATTTTCAGAGGTGACAGGGAACACTTTAACAAATGTCACATTTGCTCTGTATTAGAAATGGAAAGCTGTTATCTTAAAGATCTGTTGAGTACTACAGACTTTCATGTCTGTAGTACTCAAGGCTGAGGCTAGAAAAATGATTTTGTTTTATGGTTGCTCTATTTTATGTTTAGGTCTCCATTTGCTTGAATATCCTTTTAATGCACTGCATTGATTTTTTTTTTAATACAGTGATGATGAAGACACATTTAAAATCCTCGTTGCCACTGATATTCACCTTGGATTTATGGAGAAAGATGCAGTTCGAGGAAATGATACATTTGTGACATTTGATGAAATTTTAAGACTTGCCCTGGAAAATGAAGTACGCTTGAGTTACATTTGTGTGGGCTCTACTGTGCTTCCTTGGGTAACAGGCTCTTCCATTAAGTTAGAGTTAATTGTATAACCTCATACATTCACATTTCCTGGCTAAGTGTCAATATACCAAAAGCCCAGTTAAAATTTCGAGTACTTCCTATTCATAATCGAAGCGGAAACTGCCTTGACAAATAACCTCCAAATTTAGAAACACAGGGTGTTTAGTGATGAAACCTGAAATAAAAAGATAGCTGTTGGTTTTCAAAGAACATACAGTCAACTGGAATATGAGACAAAAAAATCCCAAACATTCAAATACAAGGTTATTTGTGGAGAGGCCCATAGAAGCACCATTTCCTGGGATGTCAGAGGTAGAGGCTGTTTAAATGGAACTACATGAGCTTAGTCAAGGAGTTGACGTTCAATGTATGTTGAAGGAGAAGCAGTCTTTAATGTTGGGGACACAGAATGGACATTCAGTGTGAAGCAGAAATACAGGCACAGGTGTAAGACTACATGGACTGTGTTAGGTGACTGGTTTCGTTCGCCTCTGGGCTGTGTGTGTGCTGAAGAGGACTGAGAATGTAGCCCAGTTGGTAGAGTGCTTATGTACCATGATCCCCAGCACTACATAAAAATTGAGTGTAGTGGCACATCCTAATCCTAACACTGAGGGGTGGAGGCAGCAAGTTCAAGGCCGTCCTCCATCACTCCATTACTGTAGTAATTAAAAACTAGAACGGAGAGTATCTGAGCTGTGTTAATGAGGAGAGCTGCAAACATCAGACTCGGTTTGTGTTCTGTGCAGTGGAATGTCTTCTGGCAGCCTGGTATTGTAGCATGTATTGAAGAGCATTTTAATGCTTTTTAAAACTGGGGCGTTAGGGGTGGAAAGAAAAAGTAAACATGAGAGAAGTTACAAAGAGAAGGTGTGCATACATTAATTTCAGAATTTGAAAATGAGTCAAGTGTGTTGAACCTGGGTGGATGATGGTGGTGTTGCTAAAAAACTAACCGGAGGGGAATCTGCCATGTGGGAGGTTGTTGAACTCTGTCGGGGATTGCAGTGGGGAGCGTCCCAGAGGGTGGATGACTGTCCACAAAGCCCAAGAGGGAGCAGGAGAATAAACATGCTGGTGCCGTCTGCCTTACCAGCCGTTTCCCTCTGGTCCCCCTGAATTTCTGCTACCCTCCTCACTGTCCTGGTAGGCCCATAACAGTACCAGGGCTCTGGGTCCTTACAAGGGATGCTACCTGTTTCCCCTAGGAGTCTGGACCCTTATAATTGCCCTTGGTCCTCCCAGGGCTCTGGGTCCTTACAAGGGATGCTACCTGTTTCCCCTAGGAGTCTGGACCCTTATAATTGCCCTTGGTCCTCCCAGGGCTCTGGGTCCTTGGTTGCCCTGCCTCATGCACACCGGTGGTTCTTCTCCAGTCCCCTGTTGGCCAACTTTTCTGATTTATCACCTGGCTTTGGGTGGGGTGGACTTCTCATTTCACATTTTACTTTTGGGGGCAGTGGAATGGGGGTTTATTGAGGTGGTCTCAGTCCATGTTGCCTCTGAACTCAGAATAGGTAGCTAAGGGCAGCTTTGAAACTCTGGCCCTCCATCTCCTAAATGCTGGCTTATAGGCACTTGTCACCATAATTTACTTTTTTGAAGAGATTTTTCCTTTATACCTCCAAGCACTCTGTGACAGTATGCTGCTTTTTTTTTTGAATGGCCTCATGTGAAATTATTTTATTCACCTATCACTTATTTATGTTCTTTATGGAGAAATTCTATGTCAGTAAAGTCTTTTTGTTGCTTAGTAATGTGTTCTTGTGTGATGCCTAAGAAAACTTAGCTCTTAGATTTGGTTCCAGTACTGTTGTCCTTTGGCTAGCAGTGAGAAATTTATTTAATTTTATTCTAAGTTTCGATAAAGTCTCAGATCTTTCCCAGTGGGTTCAAACTTAACTTATACCTTGAAAGGATATAGGAGCTGTCAGGACCCTTAGAAATTGACTGAGCTTGCTGATTTTGTTTTCTGTTAAGCTGGACTCTTTCCCTGAGGGGACAGAAGCTTAAGGAGGCCTGTTTTCCTTCCACAGAACCCTGGGCATGCTTTTTTGTAACTCTGGGTCTGAAAGCACAACCTCCCCTCCAGCCTGGCTGTAAATTGCTTTGTTCATTTCTGCCTGTTTTCTGATTCCCTTCTCCCTCACTCTGCATCTTCCAAGTGCA